CCCTACTTTGTTCTCCATATCTCCAGTTGTCTTTATTGGGAATGACTTTTCAGGGCTCTGTGGTGAAGAGAGGCTTATAGCTGCTTGTCTGGGAAGGCTTCTGATCTCGGCCCTGGGAGAAGTGTGTCTGTTTATTCTGCAGGGAGAAAGTTGGCTGGGGATGAAATCTTTAAATATGATTAAGGCTCAGGATACAATGAAATAGGAAAAGATTGGGGTTCCAGTTGGTTCCAGTTGGTTCTTGTTACTAACAAGCTGTGACCTTTTTTTTTTTGGTACCAGGGATTGAACCCAGGATGCTTAACCTCTGGGCCATATCCCAGCCCCTCCCCTCCTTTAATTTTTTTTTTTTTWAATTTTGAGACAGGGTCTCACCAAGTTGCTTAGAGCCTTGCTAAGTTGCTGAGGCTGCTGTGAATTTGTGATCCTCCTGCCTCAGCCCCCTGAGTCACTGGGATTACAAGCATGTGCCACTGTGCCCAGCCACTCAGCTTCTTATCTTAAGTCCCTTAAGAAAAATCAGGCCAGAGAGGTTATGAAAACTCCTATCCAACCTAGTTTAAAAGTAAAGAATCCCTGGCAAAGGACATTTGGTGTCCCCAGATGAGTGGGGGAGGTACCTGCTCCYCCAGCAGCTCTGTTTTAGTGTTGGAACTGCCCAAGACTCTGTCTGGACCTACACCTCCAAGGTTTTCTTATAATTTTAGGCCCTTTTCATTTCACCCATCCTTGAGGTTCCTTTCAGCTATACCCCTGGTTCTCACTGGCTTCCTCAGATGATAATGATGCTTTCTCTAGAGGACAGAGCATTTCTATGACAATGTCTGTTCTCTGAAGTGGGCTCCTGAATCTAGCTTCAGGCCTCAGACTTGCTAGAGTGAGGGAACCAAGAACCGTGGTCTGGACAGTTTTTATAAGAGACCCCGGCCCTGGGCTCAGTCATGTGCCAGACAAAGTCATCTACTAACAAAGTAGATGGGTACTGTGGACACTAGAGGTGTCAGTCATTAAAAGTCTCAGGCTGAGATGAGGGCTCCTGGGACCCCAGAGCTGGCTTGACAGGTCTTTTCTGCAGCAGATTCCCAATACAGTCCTCAGTTGGGCTGCATGGAAAAGGTTCAAAAGGCACGTTTATTTGCGGCAGATGGTGGTTCAGGCAGCTTCCCCTTCTCAGGGAGGAAGGTGGAACTTTAGTCAGGAAGGAGGTGGGTTGGGGGCTGATGTTTGCTCTGGGTTCCTTTAGCTAAGGAGACCCATACTCCCGTGGGGAGAGGAGATCTGCTTCTAGCAGGATTCTGTTGTCACTGATTTTCAAAAATGGAGTGCTATCCTCACCCTGGGGGCCTGCGGTGCTTATTTTATTTATAATCTCTTGGCTAAGTCCTAGCTTTGTCAGCATGTCTTTGCCATATCACGTGACTAAATCGGTCAGGGTCACTCCCGGTGAATTGGGCTGGCCACCAAATCACACAACACAGAAAGTACCTTTTTCTTGGGGTTCCCTGACAGCTCCTCTGCCTCAGCTCCCACAAGGGAGGCAAGAGGCCAGCAAAAGAGAGAGAGAGAGAGAGAGAGAGAGAGAGAGAGAGAGAGAGAGAGAGAGAAAATAAAAAGAGAGCACGCCCCCAAACCCTATTTTTGGGGGGGGAAGACACTCGAGAAAGTTCCACCCAAATGAGGCAAGGGATTGGGTTTCAGGGGTGCGTAGCCTAGTCCCATTGAGTGACGCCCACTCCCAGAGCTGTAATTCCTGGCTGATAGAAGGTGATGTCCACCTGCTTTCACGCTGCAGCAGAGCCTGTTCCAACCTTCATTGCTCAAGGCTACGGGTGTGTGCTCAGCTCTTATTCATGGTGGCCCTTGACATGTCTTTATTTTTTCCTTTCTAATTTTTATTGTAAAGTATACAAATCAAAATTTGCCATCTTTTTTATAAGTTTTTTTTTTTTTGAGAGAGAGAGAGAGAATTTCAATATTTATTTTTCAGTTTTCAGCTGACACAACATCTTTGTCTGTATGTGGTGCTGAGGATCGAACCCGGGCCGCATGCATGCCAGGCGAGCGCGCTACTGCTTGAGCTACATCCCCAGCCCCAAAATTTGCCATCTTAACTTTTTTTTTTTTTTTTTTTTTTTGTGGTGCTGGGGATTGAACCCAGGGCCTTGTGCATGCGAGGCGAGCATTCTACCAACTGAACTATACCCCAGCCCATCTTAACCATTTTTAAGTGTACAATTCGGTGACCTTAAATATGTTCACAATGTTTTATAGCCATAGCCACTCATCCATCTTCAGAAGTTTTTTTTTTTTTTTTTTTCTTTTCCCTCTTTCTCTCCAAGTGTAAAAGAATAGGATTTATTCAAGTGAGAAGAAAAGAAACTGAGTTCTTGCAGGGCGAGAGGGGACTCAATAGGGGTTGCCCAGGTCTTCTCATCTTGTAAAACTGAAACTCTGTACTCATTAAATGTTAACTCCCCGTTTTCCTCTCCCCGGCCCCTGGAAACCACAATTCTTTGTGTCTCTGACTGTGACTACTCTAAGTACCTCACAGAAGTGGACTCATACAGTATTTTTCCTTTTGTGACTTTCACTTACAAAATGTCCTCAAGGTTTGTCCATGTTACAGCATATGCCAGAATTTCCTTCCTTCTTAAGGTTGAATAACATCTACTATATGTATCTACCACATTTTGCTTCTCCATTCATCTGTCCACAGATGCCTGGGTTGCTTCCATGTTTTAGTGATTGTGGATAATGCTGCTGTGAACATGTTATTAGGTCATATGGTAATCTATTCTCAGTTTTTTTTGATGTGTGTGTGTGTGTGTGTGTGTGTGTGTGTGTGGTATTGGGAATTAAACAAGGGCCTTATGCATGTACTACCACTGAGCCACATCCCAGTCCATCTTTTTTTTTTTTAATTTTATTTTAATCTTTTGTTGTTGTTGTTTACTTAYTTATTATGTGGTGATGGGGTTGAACCCAAGGCAAGTGCTTTACCACTGAGCTATCTCCCCAGCCTGAATTAATTTCTTTTTAATATCAGAAGTTCAAATTCCTTTTTGGGAACCCATTTCTTTGCTTTATTTCTTAAAGTGTTATAGGTAGGCAACACTCAGCTTCCCGGCCTTCCTTCTATCTATAGAGAAACTGCGTTTCTCTGAACCCATCCCCTCTACCCACTCAGGTCTTCTGCCCAGCTGGGCTTTCACAGCCTGATGGCTGGGTGACATATCAATATTCTTCTACCTCTGTGCTCCCCAAAACACACAGCGTGCTTTGTTTGGTATATTTACCCCTCAAGAAGTGTGTCAACTTTGGGAATAAATGCAATATTTATAGAATGTAAAGATTGGAATTTTGGTCAATGTATATGAAGCCTCGTGGAAAATTATAGATAAAATGCCTTTTTAGTAGACTAAATTGGGGATTTTAGTGACATTGAGCTTTTGTTTGAATAACTGGGCCATGCCTAGGACTAGGAAGCAGTTTCATCAATACCATATTTTTCAGTCTTAGTTTTCTCTAGAAAATAAACCCTTATTCTAATCCAATTGGAGGGAAATAATCAAAAGAGCTTAAACAGAGAACAACCAGAGAGGGTCATTCCTTACCTCACATGGCACTTCCAAGAACTTGCCCTTCCCACTGGCAGGAGAATCCATGAAACAAATCACTATTAGCTGTGGATTTTCTTGGCCTTTATTTGGCCAGGGAAATGTGGGGCACTAAGGAACCTAACTTGCAGGCTGCTACCCACTTCCTGGTCTGGGGACCACATGTGGCTAAGATGGCGCCTGGTGATCAGCCAGAAGGTGGTGCTGTGGGTTGTGATGAAAAATGGGACCACCTCTAGGATAGGCCCAGGACTCATCTCGTGGACAGTTCATACTTTCCCTTACAGCCCATGGAATGGGCGCACGTGAGCCCTTCCCACCCCACTGCCCTTTGCTCTGGTTGGCTTCTGTACTCTGTATTAGCTGTGTGTGCTTCCTCAATAAACGAGCTCCTGCCTTGACTGGTCTCCCTGATGCTCTGATTGTCCTCCGGCGAGGGAGGGCTGGGTGCGGGTGGTCAGTGGGCCCTCTCCTTTCTTGGCTCATCCTGGCCGGGGCGTGCTCTCGCTATCTCTCCTGCAGGTCGGGAGGGAACGAGGACTAAAAACCCCGACAGGGAAGGAGTCAAGAATATTGAAAATCATCACCAACCAGTGGGTTTCTTTTTTCACTTTCCCTGACCCTCAGAAATGCAAGCTCTTTTTTTCTTTCTCTTACTTTACCCTAGTAGCTATTTGTCTGCGTTACCTCTAGACTAGAAATATACATTCTAGACACGTACTCAGTTTAACAAAATCCACAATAAAATACTTTAGCTGTCCTTGGAGTTTGTGATAATGGAATTTTACTTGTATTGAGGTGGCTAGGGAGAAAAATAAAATTGTTAAAAGGAGGAATGTAATATGGTGGCTTCCAGGGAGGAAGCAGATGGCTTGCTCTTGCTCCCTGACTTGGAAAATTCATCACTTTTTTCTCTTTCTTTTGGGTCTCAGGATTACTTTCCTTTTTGGAAAAAAAGTCTTTTTTTTTTTTTTCTATTTAAAATTCCAGACAGAGGGGCTGGGATTGTGGCTCAGAGGTAGAGTGCTTGCCTACATGTGTGAGGCACTGGGTTTGATCCTCAGCACCACATAAATATAAAAATAAAGACATTGTGTCCACCTATAACTAAAAAATAAATATTCAAAAAAAATTCCAGTCAGAGAGAGAAAGAAAAAACAAAAGCTAATTCAGCTCTTGTTGACTTAGATTAGTCCAGGCAATCTGAAAGCTTGCTTTGGGAATGGTAGCTCCCTTACAGAAGTGAAAGAGATCAGTCTCCTTTAGGATCCAGAGAAAACAGGGATGAGCATGTTGCCAAGACACCAAGCACTCACCCAGGCTGCTGTGCACATGTCTTTATTTCAGAATTTGGACCTGGAGGTGGAAGTATGGTTCCTAGGCTTACTCCACTGCAGGAAAGTGGACAAAAACTCAACAAAATGTTAGCATCTTGCAAAATAAGCCAGGGCCTTAACATATTTCTGTAAGAGCTAATCCAGGCCAAAAGAGAGGGTTAGGAACTCACTGTCTTCTGCAAACGTGCGTGGAAATGATGCTCAGGGCAAGGTGCTGATTTTAGCAATATGAGGAACCTGAGGAACAGGGAGGAAAAGGACAGTTTGATTTGAGAAGAAACAAATGAGGTGATTCCTCAAGGACTGACTGGCCTCAGGGTCCGGCAGCTCTGTTGGTGGTGCCTTCTTCCCTCTGGGCCCACATGGAGTTTTTGAGACCGTAGGGCTGAGTAGGGAACTGGGGTGCTCTGGGGGATTTCCATTTGCATGACTGGAGGAAGGTACCTGTTCTCCCTTCCCCCACACTCCCCCAAAGGAACCGAGTCAGGGGAGGGAAGGGGTCTAGTATGTGATGTACTTGGATATCATCAAAATTCTTAGGTCAGAATGAGTCTTAATTTGCCTCTTCCATCATCAGAAGTGGAGACCGTTATCACCGGTTCAGGTTAACTAAGCAAATGAACCCAGGTCTTGAGGAACCTGTCTTCTTCTCCCTATGTGAATTCCCATCTGATGATCTTTGAAAAAATAACATCACACTGTTGTTGTTTTGGCACATGGGACTAAGAAAGAAGACCTAACACAGTAGCAGGAGACAAATGGCAGACGTACCTGGGCAGTGAGGCATCCCAATGATCTTGGTGATGTCCACTTTTGGGCCCATGAGGCCACACATTTTCCCTCGCTGTGTGGGCTCCAGTTTGCTGGGGCCTAGGGCTTTGGTGCACATCTTTGAGTTCCCGGCCAATATCTTCTCCTCTATCTCACTCTTCAGCTTCTTGTTTTCCTGCTGCAGATGGACCATCACATTGTGCAGGTGGCTGTGAAAAGCAGAGGGAGGGGCACGTGGGTATTTGGACTGCGTGACTTGCTTGGTTCCTTGCTGGAAAGAACCGATAAGGGTGTCACAGGAAGGAAGGCGCGAAGGCACAGGGCCTCTCAGAGCTGGGTTCTTAGTACACACTCTGGAAATGGAGGCCTGTGTGTGTCCCTTGGAAGAAATCCAGGTCTGGGGTTGGGGAGGACGACCCTGAACTAGGACTCCTGACTCTCTCTCTTAACTGTGGATCCTTTTCTGTTCAATGGGGAAAATCAACTCTGACCTGCCTGTTGGGGTTCATGGAAAGATCCAGTTGGACAAATGGTAGAAATCTGAAGAGCCAGAAGGCTCTTCTGAACAATTATGATCACGTGTCCTTGGGTTCTCATGACTGTGCCTGGGCAACACTCACACAGTACAATGCCAAAGCCCCAGTCTTCTCAGCCTCCCTTTGCTTAAGAACAGGGAGCACAGGGACTTGCAGTCCTGTGGAGAATTCAGACAAATTCCTTACTTCCATTTCACAGATGAGGAAGTGGAGGCTGTGGTGTAGGTGAAAGGAAAATAATTTAGCCTATTTCTCATTGATCAAAAAATGGCAGCTATTATCAATAGTTGCATTTCTCTGAATTAATGTTGAGAACAGTGGATCACAATGGGTTCTGAAGCAGGACTTCTGGAGTTGGAATTCTGGTTCTGCCACTTGCCGGCAGAGGCAAGTGACTGAACCTTTCAGTTCCTCTCTTTGCTCATCTGTAAATGGTGCAATACCTACAGATAGTCCCTGACTTGTAATGGTTTGACTTAACAATTTTCTTTTCTTCACAATGGTGTCAAAACCATACATGTTCAAGTAGAAATGGGCGTTTGGATCTTTTTCTGGGCTGGCGATATGCAATACAATGCTTCCTCTTCAGATGCTGGCCAAAGCCGCACATTACAGCTCCCAGGCAGCCACATGATCATGAGGGGAGGCAAATGAAGCTCTGCCGGGTACTGTGCTGTTGTGTCTGGTAGGTTGGGGGCACTGGATGCATTTTTGACTTATTAATATTTTAACTTCTAATGGGTTTATTCAGACATAACTCCACCTCAAGCTAGGAGCAGCTGCATGCTGAATTCATGGGGTTGTAGGAAAATGAACACGTGCAGCACTTAGAACAGTGCATTGAACGTGCAGAACAAGAAATATTAGTTGAGCTAGTAAGATTCGTTTTTTTTTTTTTTYCAAATGGATCAGGCAAATTCTTGACTCCTTTGTGAAATAAGACTTTGGCAACTTGACACTATCTAAGAAAAGCCTGAAGTTATTGGAAGCCTGAAGTTATTGGCTATTTTTCAGATTCTGACAACTTTTCTTTTGTAAAATCCCCTCAGGAATGTTTTTGTCCGGTAAAGAATGTCCTGGTTCTTTCTRGAGGAAACTGAATAGTGAATCCTCAGCCTCTTCTCTGAGCCTATGCTCCACCCTCTTGCTGTCCACAAGTCTTAAGCCACCTCTTTCTGTTGCTCCCCACTCCCCCAGGCTGGATGACAAAGGCCTTTGTCCCCTGGCTCACTCCCACTCTCCCTGGTGCCCTATAGCCAGGCCAGCATCCGTGATGCCTTCAACATTCCATACAGCCAGTCCAAGTCCTGGCCTTTTGGGTCCTTGAACTATGTGGTCTTGTCCTTCAGCTCAACTCCCCTCCCCCCCCCAGCCTAAAATCAAAGCCAAAGACCGAGCTTTGTGACTTGGAGCCATGAATGGGTTCCAGGAATGCTGCAGCCCAATGCCCTCCAATCCTGGGGTAGGGTTTGGGGCAGCTGCTGCTCAGTCAACTTTGGGCAAAGCAGGCTCATCCCGAGCCCTCCCAGCATGCCTGGCAAAAGCTCAGGGAGCAGTGTCTAGGGCTTGTCCTCGCCTGTCACTTTACCACTGCCCACATCTCAGTTTTAGACCTTGACCCCTTCACCTCTCAGCTTGAAGTTCTTACACTCACTCTCGGCAGACCTAGCTTTGACCTGAAGGTGAAGCAAGACCACAGGGGAGAGTGGAGCCCCAGGTACAAGGGACCTATGTCCCCGATGGCCAGGAGGAAGAGCGGATCCCCCAACTGGGGCCGTGCACCTCAGACCATCCCACGAAGGCCTGTCTGTCTGGACTCCTCCATGGGGGGTCTCTTTACATCAGCTCGGCCCCACCCTCACTAGCGCAGCCGCCTTTCAATTCCAGCTCCCTTCTCAGCCTTCTYGCCTTGGAGAATCACCAAGGTGAGGGAGGAAGGAGCACGAAGATTACGAAACCTCTGGTGAGAGGATGAAGGCCCGKGCGGCCCAGTGATGTGCCCAGGGTCACAGAGATGCAGGTTCCGGACYCAAGGGGCCTTCCACATCACCAAGCCTTTCCTTATCCACATAAAATGGTAAGGCCAGCCCTTCTCATAGGGTCCCAGGGAGCAGCCAGGGTGGTGTGGGTGGCTTACTCCTTTTCACCAGTCAGCTTGGCGATGTACTTGACCTGCTCCCGGAGCTTGTTTCCTAGTTTCTCGTTGGCGATCCTGTAATAAAATCCACAATGGGAAAGAGTGGCTGGTTCCCCGGCCTCCGGTGAGCAAGGGCACAGGCTGGCTGGGTGGGGCACTGGATTCTCTGAGCAAGGCTTCTACTGGATCCCAGAGCCCCATGCATCATCCTGTCCCCAGAGCGAGAGTCTTCCTAGMACCTGGCAACTAAGAGGACTCTCTGTACTTAAGTGCTGTGCAGAGTCCCTGTGATCCCCAGGGGCGGTCCAAGGAATGAGTTTAAGGGATCCAGGTGAAGCCAGATACCAAGTGGGAAGAGAAAACCTCAGCATCCCTTCACTCTTGACTCTGCCCTATTCCTAAGTCATCAGGACTTTCCTAACTTTCTCTAAGAGCTGGGCCCCCTCCATCTTATTCCCAAGCCTTGGGTGTGGGCTGAGACTCCATCAGTTTCCAGTGACAGCGGGGTGGTGGGGGTGGTGGGGGTGGTGGTGGGTGTGTGTGACTAATCATTGGCACTTAGGTGCTTCCTCAGCTCAGCCTAGGCCCTGGCACTGCCTCACTTTCCTCTTTCTTACTTACTTCTGCTCTTTTGCCCACTGTTCCATGTTGCACATAATCTGGTCGTTCTCTCGGTGGAGCCTACATGGGTCTTTGGGCACAGACCGCTGGGACAGGCAGCAGGGCTTCCATACAAGAAGAAAATGAGACAGTAAGAGATGGGATCAGGGCCCAAACACTTCCTTTTCCCCAAACCAGGTCCCTTCTCTCTTCCTGGGAGAAGAAAAATCAACTCTGCCGTCTAACCAGAGACCACAGTTGCCACACCAGGACATTCACCTCCAGCTGCATTCTGCACAGAGGTGACACCTCGGAGGGGACACCATTTAGGGTGCTCATTTACAGCAGAGACCATACATCTGTACACTCAAAGTAATGGTTTCCAGGACAAAGGCATTGAAGTGACCTGTCCTAAAAAAGCAGTATATTTTAACAGATGGGGAAAAATATCTGGAGGAAGAGATGGCTTCTTTCTAATTTTAACAAAGGCTTTGTAGCCACCTCAGAATGTCTTGAGGTCTCCTGCTGTGACCTTCACTGCTCAGGGAGTTGGCCAGGGGGCATGTTCAGTTAGCCAATTCTACAGGGTTGGGCCATGAGGCTGCTTGGATGTACTCTGGAAGGGGACTTCCCAGGAGGTCGTCTGAGTCAGGGGTGTCTGATGTACTTGAGTCGGGAATGGGGTCTGTGTTCTGGTCCATACCTCCCTAGCAATGAAGCCACCAACATAGGTGGCGGCCCTGGAGGACCCAGCCCTTGCTTCGTGCTAATGGAGGTAAGTGGGGTTCCTTTCTTTTCTCCCAGCACCCCCACCTCACCGAGGGCTGCCTTGTTGGGGTGGACTGAGAGGAAGTGGCAGAAGCCAAGCAGTGCCCACCCCACCTCCTTATCGTCTGCGAGGAGGTTCTCCTTCAGCGTGGTCATCTCCTCCTGGAACTCCCTGAGCTGCATCTCTTTGGCTGCCAGCATCTTGAGGTCGTTCTGGTGCTGTTTCTGCCACTGCAGCACCTGGTTGCTCATCTCCTCTAGCTTCTTGTCGAAGGCGTGCACCTACTCAGGAATGCAAAGTGAGGAGGGGGACCCCAGAGGACCCCAAAGACGGCCAGAGGGTGCCTTTCCAGCCTTCAAAGACTTGTTGGGGTATTTTATTTCCAGCGGCCAGCAGAGGGCACCCCTGCTCTGATCTTTGCAGCCTCTGCCTAAAGTTCCAGGAGCCAAGAAAATAGAGGGAACCCCTTAGCCAAAGGSCATGCTTAGCGCTAAACAATTCTGGATGCCAACTGTGACCTTGTGGACTCCTAACGGGAGGCGGCTGGAGCGCCAGGCTTCTCCTCACCTCTAGCTCGCTCTGCTGGTGGAAGCCCTGCAGTTTTTTTAATTCCACATTGAGCTTTTTCATCCTGTCCTCATAAGCCACGATTTCATCCTCCAGGTGAGCTTTCTTGTCTTGGGCCTGTAACAAGCTTCGCTGCAGGTTCTTTGTCTCGGAGGTCACTTGATTGAGCTTCCGGTAAAGACAAAGGGACGAGAGTGGCCATCAGGACCCTCTGGCCCTCTCTGCTGAGTCCTGAATGGAAAAGGGTTCCAGTCCCTCCCTGTCCTCTGCCCAGGGTGGTGCAGATGGGTCCCTTACCTAATGTTCCAGAGAGGGATGGGAAGTGACACTGAAGCCCTCTCCTCAGCCCTCCATCCCATCCCCCCATTTCTTTCTTTTTTTTGGGGGGGTACCAGGGATTGAACTCAGGGGCCCCTTGACCACTGAGCCACATCCCCAGCCCTATTTTGTATTTTATTTAGCGCCTCGCTAAATTGCTGAGGCTGGCTTTGCCTCATTTCTCCTCTTCCCAGTCTTTTGGCTGGATCCGGAGGCAAGATCAGCACAGGGATGAGCACCCATTTCCCTGACAATCCTGGCTTTGGGAAAACCTTGCCCCAAGTCATCCCTGAGGAGAAAGACTTGTTAGACGTGGCCTCCATCTTTTCCTCTCCCCTCAAAATAAAAGACGCCCTGAGAGGAAGCAATCCTTCTCTGGACAGAGAGCCTGACCCAGGCCAGGGTTTGCGATGCCCTGAGGAGAGCCAGTTGTGCAGGAAACTGGGGAGGGGAAGGTGTGGCCTCACCTTCTCCAGGGCTTGCGTCAGGTCATCCTGGCAGGTGGTTGACTTCCGGCATAAGTTATCGTAGATTTCTTTAGCCACCATGGTCTGCATGCAGTGCTTCTCCTTCTGCAACGCCTTGTCCAGCTGGGCTTGCAGATTCGCTATGGCATCCTTGTGTTGGGCCATCTGTAGAGAGTGAGAGCATCAYGGTCAGGTTCCAGCTCCTAGAGGTGCCCTCTCTGACCATAGGAAAGGGACAGGGGCTGGGCTCTTCTCTCTGCAGTAACCTGCAGAACAGTCTGTGTTGAGGTCCAAAGGCAGAGGTGTCTCTCCAGGCTCTTCTGCACCCCTCCCCCCACATTTCCTCCTTTGAGTTAGTATGCCCTCCAAGTGCCAGAAGTACTAGGGTGTGATATGCCAGATATGCAAAAAGTCCCTTCCCCAGTTTCTGCAGCCTTTGATAAACACCTAGAATCCAATTCTATGTTAGTCTTTTTTTTTTTTTTTAATGATATCGGGGATTGAACCCAGGGGTACTTTTAACCAATACTTTTGTATATTTTAGAGATAGGGTCTTGCTGAATTAGTGCTCAGGGCCTCACTAAGTTGCTGAGGCTGGCTTTGAATTTGCAATCATCCTGTCTCAGCCTCTTAAGCTGCTGGAATGAAGTTTTTCAGATGGAATTTTGAGTATCATCAACTCTAGAAATCAKCGAGATGAAGAGCATTATATTGGACTTCTAATTCTATGTTTTACATGTCCTGGTGGTGAAACTGTTCCTAAAGATAAAATAATTTGGTTTTCTAGAAACTGAAGCACATTTTTTTTTCTGGGGTTTTCCAAAAAAATGTGGAGTCAGCTGGGTCTCCCCAGTAACCTAGAGAAGTTGTTAGGGAAATACAGTTCAGAGTGTTTGATAAGCGGTGGCTGAACTGAGAAATGTCACAATGAAGGTGAGATAGCAGAAAGAAGGGTGGTCAAAAAAATCATGGTGATGCTAGAAGCCAAAATGGAAGCTTTGCTAACATGAGTAATTTAGCTTAGAAAAAGATGCTAAAAACTGACATGTAAATTATAGAATCAAGGAGTTCTAATGAAAGTTCTAATACAAGACCTACATTCTCTCCTGCCAAAGGCAGGCTATATATAGGTATAAATGGCTTTAGAGGTGCATTACATTAAGTCATCCCCAAATCTGTTTTTTTCTCTTAGTTATTCCATCAGCAAGTCTGGTCGGTCTTGCCACTAAGTTCCTCACTGACACCACTCTAGCCTGGACAGGAATAGCTCCCTAACTCTGGCCTCCTTTGTTCCATATCAACTCCTTTCCAATCCATGATTGTGTGCCTGACTTCAGTTCTTTGGTATTCTAGTACACCTGTATCCTAAGCTGGTCACAAATACACAGAAACATACTCTTTCTTGCTTCATCTCCAGTAACTGTTCAATGTTTGAAGTTTGTACACACACACACACACACACACACACACACACATACACACACACACACGAATGTATTTTTTGGGACATAAGACCTTCATTTATTTATTTTTATATGGTACTGAGAGTTAAACTCAGTGCCTCACACTTTTTAAGCAAGCACTCTACCACTGAGCCACAACCCCAGCCCTAGAGTTATATTTTGAAAACTGAAATCAGATTGAATCATCTATTTTATCCCTTTGAGAAAATATTATCAGATTAAGACCTATATGAGGGGCTGGGGATGTGGCTCAAGTGGTAACGCGCTCGCCTGGCATGCACGGGGCGCTGGGTTCGATCCTCAGCACCACATAAAAATAAAATAAAGATGCTGTGTCCACCGAAAACTAAAAAATAAATATTAAAAAATTCTCTCTCTTTCTCTCTTAAAAAAGAAAAAAAAGACCTATATGAACATAAAACCCCAAATTTCTTAACAAAAGCTATAATGTCTGCCCCTGTCTAATTTTCTAATCTGATCATATACCAGTATTTCCCTTAATCAATACACTTCAGTAATATTGGCCTTATTTCACCAAGAGTGTCCCAAGTGCCAAGTGTGTATTAAAGTGATACATGACACACATTCAGGATTTATACTAGAAATGCAAGGAGGGGACCAAATTAGGATCAATTAATTAATTCACCAGATTTGAAAAGAAAGATATGATCATCTTGTTGGCTTTAAAAAAAGGACTTAAGAAAATTCTACATCTACTGCTAAAAACTTTTAGTAACTGAAGAATCAAAGAAACCTGATAAAGGGTAGCAATAAGAAACCTACAAGGGTATCATACTAAAACAAGTGCATTCCTTTAAAGTTAAGAAAGAAAAAGATGCCTGCTAACAGGGTTGCTGTTGACCATCATACGGAAGGTACTGACTGTCCAGTGCAAGAAAAATCAATATACATATTACAAAGAAATATTTATTAAACCGTTGTTTGCAAATGACATCATTATCTACTTAGAAAAATTCATGAGAATCAAGTGAAAAACTATTACAAATTATAAGTGAGCTTAATAAGATGTCCAAATTYAGAATCAATATATAAAAGTGAAAGGAAAAAAAAAAGCATATTTGGGCAAGAACTCAATTGTATTTTGCAAAATGGATCCATTTGTAGAAAAAGCTGGTGATGGTTGTTTTTGGCTTTCTTCTGAGATAAAAATGAATAATTGCCACTTCTGTCTACACTTGGTCCATGTCAAATTTATTTCTTATTTGAAGAGATTACTACTGTCTCTAACTCTAATTTTTGGATTAATAATTTGGCCTGCAATTTTCATTCAGAAACTAGCATGCTTCCTTCTGTTGTACTCTAGRCTGGGCTTGGACTCCGTGTTATGTACTTCTGGAAAAAGCTATGCTGTAACTATAYCTTAAAAAAGGGATTTAATTTCTCTTCCTAAGTTATCTAATCATAAATGCCTGTGCATCTCAAATTTCTGGCAAAGCTGGGKCTCCAAAAAAGAAATTATCATTTTAGAACTGCTTATGGCATTAAGTATAAATGGGTCATTCCAGTTTTTGATAAAATGAAATCCAAAAATTTTATTGTGTCACATAGAAAATTAGTGACAGTACTATAATTGAAGTAGATCCTGAGACAAGAATTTGAAAGCAGACAATTTATTTGAGAGTCAATACCACCAGTAGAGAAATGGGTAGGCGATAAAGGAAAGAAAAAAAAAAAAAAGAAACTAAAAACTAAAAATAGGAAACTATACAGTCTCTATTAGTTAACAGGTTTTTGTTGTGCCAATTTTAGGGGAAATGTTGAGGCTGGGAAACTACTATGTGTATAGCCATGTGACAGGATGAATCATCTATAGATTTCCTATATTAAAGTGACTTCACTTCTGGTCACATCAAAGTTGTTCAGTTTTATTTAGATGATATATAGGTAGACTATTTGGATACAAATCCAAAGACATGTTTTGTATTTCAGAGAAATAAATGTTGATTGTGCAAACTTGTTCTACCAAGAAAAGGTGAATGAACTTTCCTATTAACAGTAATAAATTATATAATGTAGTGGAAAAATACACTACGTCAAATACATTACAAGGATACTATGATATATTGTCTTGTTTTCAGATGGGGAATTTTCATATCAATATATGGAATATTGATTAAAGGAAGTGCATTTTAGAAAGCAAAACGAATCCTATTTCTAATGGCTATTTCAATTGCTTCAATGAGTCTACCGTATGTGGGGTGTGCCTTTAGAAAAGTTGAACGTTCTTACAAATCGCAAAAGAAAAATCTTCCTGTTCAAGGAATTCTGAAATGAGTGCTTTGGCTTCCAAATGTACATGGAAATTTTTTGGCACATGTGACAACTGGCCCATATAGTCAGGGTCCCTTTATGTTCAGAGATGTAGGTGGCTTGTGGTTATAGTGTAGCTCAGATGTACAACTTTTCCATAATTACAGAAAGGCAGAAACTTCTATTGGACAATGCAATCCTTAGGAGAGTCATACTATTTTAAGTTTTTAAACAGATTATGAAGGAGTAAGATCTGCTTGGTCCTTCATTTGTAACCCAAGTGACTATCTCCCAAGGTACTACATATTTTTTTTTTCTTGCCCAGAACGATGGAATGAACTCAGTTGAGAAAGTAGTGCTGCTYGTTGATGAAGAGAGTGGGTGTTGGAGCTGGGTGGCCCAGGTTCAAACTCAGGCTCATCCCACCACTCCCTGCTTGGTGCCTTTGGGCCTCGGGCTTTTTTTCATTTGGAAATGGGGGATCACAGTAATGTATACCTTGCTGAGATGGAAGGTATGTGAAGGGCTTACGCAGACATTAAATTAATGATGACTAAACTCAAAGCACAGGGCCTAGCATGTCAGATGCCWCTTATTTTTACTCATGCAATGAAAAATCTGCAGTGGAATGTCTCCGCTTGCACCGTTTTTGTGCTTTGCCACAATTTTGGAAGTGTTCCCTAGCAAATTGCCCTAAACGACTAACTCAACCCAACTCTGGTCTAAATTGTGGTATCGGAAGACTTGMTGCTGCAACCCAGCAAGTTTGGGGGCTCCACTAAGTAGGAAATAAAACCTTCCACTGAGGAAGAAACATGTCTTGGCTTCAGAAACCAGGTCCTGAAGCGTTAACCCACTTCAAGCCTCAGGTGCCAGAGGTGCGCAGTTGGCTGAGCCTGTTTGTGGCCTTGCTGTGGAATGGAGAGAGGGGTGGGGTTCCCATCGACTYACCTCTAAGTTGAGCTCCTCGATGAGTTGCTGGGAGGCGTTGTACTTGCTGAGAGAAACTTCCAGCTGCGTAGCACATTGCTTCAGCTCTTCTTGGAGATTTCCTTTCTCCTCCTCCTGTTTCCTCARATTTTCTCTCAACTGGTCACCCATTAAAGAGCAAAGACCCAGAAAGATGTGTGAACCACTCTCAAAGCTCCCTCCTCCTTCTCTTCCCAAGGTTCCCTTCTCTGCCCTGTGGCTTTCCTACTCTGTCTCCTAAGCTCTGAGCACCCATGGCCTCTGCATCCATCCTGACCCAGCTCCAGCCACATCCATCCTGGGATTCGGGACCCAACCCTATCTACATTCTCCTTCTCACCATCTTTTCCTTCTTTTTATCTTCCTGTCGTAGAGCCTCAATTTCATCCTCCAAAAGCTTCTCGTTTTCTTTGCTCTTTTTCAGCTGCTCCCGTTTGTCCTTCAGTGTCTGTGTCAGCTCTGGTATCTCCTCTTCTAGCTTGTTTTTGGCACCTAATAGGTCCCTGTTCTGAGAACATAAAGACTGGGCTGGAAGACAGCCTTGCACTATATCGTATTTGGGAAAAGATACGCAGACAGTGGCACCCAGGACGGTCCCTTAGTTTGATAGCATATATAACAAAAAAGTCTGCTTCGGTGCTCTAAAACATTTCTTCTTTGTTTAATTAGATAGACCAATTAATTTTATGTATAGATCCAATTCCCACTGTGCCAGCCTTCTCTCCCACTTATTCTCTAAATCTTTTCACATAAAACCTCTTTGAATAAAGTTTTTAAACAATCATAGAAAAGCATAAAAAGAATAATTCAGAGATTGAAGACTTTAAATTGGCTGACAAGGATAGCCTTTGGATCCTAGTAAGAACAACACTGTTCCTTGATTATTTTTGAGCCTAACCCTTGAAAACACTTATAACTCATGATGGGAACTGGTGACTGAGAGCATTCTAACATAAATTCTGGATAATTCGTTTGCATGGGTTGATGGCAACATCTTCTTTAAATAAGGACCAATATGTTTAATCTTCAGCAGGGCACACCTTGGTGTYGGCTGCCTGCTTGCTGCCTACCTGGTACTGAACAAGTTTGACCTGGTCCTGCATGTCATTTAATTTCTGGTCCTGCTCTTCTGCTGCCTTCTGCAACTGCTTCTTTTCCTTGTCTGAGTTTTCCAGCTTCCCCAGGGTATCAGAGAGGTTTGAGGTCAGCTCATCTATCTGTTTCCTAAAGCAAAGGGACAACAGGTGGATGGACTTCAGGGCCTGTGTTGTTGGACTATGGAGCTGGCCCCATGGGGAGTCTCTGATGTCCCACCCCTGGTGGCCGCCCACAGTGATTGGCTCACAGGGACAGGGTTCTCTGGAGGTGAGCWGAAGGTACCTGTTGCTTGCCAGCTCCTCTCCAGCTGCTACGGATTCCGCCTGTAGCCTCTGCACCTCTCTCTGTAGATCCTGGATGGTGTCTGCTTTCTGCTGGTCTAGATAAATGCAGTCCTGCAGCTTCCTCTGGGTATCCTCCAGAGTGTTCCCCGCCTGCAAGGCCTCTTCCTTGTACTGGGCTGCTTGCTGGGCTGCAGAAACCAGGAGACAAGCTGAGGGCATGTCCACGGGAGGAGGAGTGTATGTCAAGAGCAGACTCTCAAATAAGACTGGCTAGGAAGTCTGTTCTTTCATTTTGTGACCTACTTCAATTCCCAATCTGTCCTCACTTCTTTCCATTTCATTATTGGTCCTAAAGAGCTCTGTTCAATTATCTGACTTCAACCACTCTCTAGCCAGGGGCTCTTCGGGACTAAAATGAAATAAATTGGTTAGAAATGGCTCAGTATGTCCTGTGTGACTCATCTTATCCTAAGGGACAAATCCCAACCTGCATGGAGTTTAGTCTGGCGAGGGAGGCATAGCCAGCCCACCTGTCATAGAGAACAGTGAAATATTATTTATTTTTGGTGTTGGGCATTGAACCCAGGTCCTTGTGTATGCTAAGCATTGGTTCTGCCCTCAAGTTACGCCTCCAGCTAGAGATCACAGGAAGGTAAGTTCCTGGGAACTCAGGAAGAGGGATCCATGTGGGTTAGGATATTTATAGATGGAATTGTGGAGGGACAGAGTTGATTGGGCCTTAGAGAAAGGAGAGTGGAGCTCCAGGTGTGGGACTATTAGAGTGAATGCACTGGATTGGGGGAGAATAGCAAGGACTGTTTGATTGGAAAAGAAATGGAGGAATGGGGCAATGGAGTTGAGTAATGGGGTGGATTAGAGGGGGCTTTGGAGGACCATGAAAGCCTGAGAGAAATGTTTAAACTTGATTCAGTGAGAAGGGACTTAATACAGGGGAAAGATGGGAATGCAAAATTCCTTTGCCACACACCCTCACTCCATGGGGCAGGCACCCAGGGCTTACTTGGGAGAAGCACCCAAGTAGGTTCTCACTGCAGATCCTTTATGCTAAATATATTCCCTCRTCTGAACGTTGCTCTCTCATTCCCTCTTCCAAGTTTCCTACCCTGGGATCCTGGAAGAAGGATGGCCTTATTACCAAAATAAAGGCGTGCCTTGGAAGAAGGAGGGAGGAGGATTTAAAAAGCATTGGAAGGAGCTGGGGATGTAGCTCAGTGGTAGAGTGATTGCCTAGTATGTACGAGGCCCTGGGTTCCATCCCAGCACTGGACCAAAAAAAGTGTTGGAGAGATAGGTTGTTTCGGAAATGCCTAGTGAGAGGAGGAGGTGGGTTGGCTCAGGGGAAGTTGKTCTCCAAAGACAAGACTCACCACTGCTGCAAAGCCAGGATAGGGGTTCTAAGTTTTGGAGGCATCAGCAGGGAAACATAGCTCTGGAGGAAGAGGGGAGCTCACAAAGCATGAAGGAGGAGAGGAGGAAGGTGGAGCACAGACACAGGTAGAGTCTTAAGGGATGGATGACTGTAGTTAGARCAGGGGAAAAAAAGAGAAAAAGTGGTGAGATTTGTGGAAGAACAAGAGAAAAACCCCTGAGAAATGYGGGTTCGGGTGCAGGCAGCTAACAGCCTCTGGAAATACAGAGTTGAAGGAAGGTGGGGAAGCAAGCAGGCTTTGGATCTTCTGTTGAAATTAAAAAAAGGAATTCACATGACATAAGATCTATCGTTTTAAAGAGCACGATTCAGTGGGTTTTAGCATACTCACAACGCTGCSTAACCATCACCAATATCTAATTCCAGAACATTTCATCACCTCCCAAGAAACCCTGTACCTAAGGCAAGAAGTTATTGGTGACCTGAGAAAGCAGTCTCCTCAGAGGGCCACTGTCCCTCTGAGGAGGGAACGCGTTTGGAGGCAAAAAGGAGAGAGGGTGTTGAAGACCAGGGTGGTTGGGTGAAATGTGGGGTGAGGGGCCAGGGTCTTCATCTGAGAGGGCTGAGAGAATGGTGGAAGTGTGAGTTCAGCAGCTGCTTTTCCAAGCTGTGGTGGCTTCCAAGAGGAGGTAAGCTTGGGGTTGAGTGAGGAATTCAAGGGGACCCTGAGACGCCGGGGCTGATGTAGCCCCTCGGGGTGGAGGCGTGCCTGTTGGGACCTCACCTGCCAGCCTGTGCTGCTGTTTGGTGTCCTCAAGAGCGTCGCTCAGCTTCTGGATCTCGCCTTGCAGGGCTGCGTACTCCATCCTGGCTTTCTCCTTGAAGGTAATTTCGAGTTCCCTCATCAGGCAATGCTGCTCCTCCATCTCCACCTCCTTCTTCAGGAGGCTGTTCTGCACCTGCGCCAGCTTCTTCTCCAGCTCGTTCAGCATTTCATCCTTTTCTTGGAGTAACTGAGGAGAGCCAAGTGGGGGTGCTGAGAAAGGCCAGGAGCCGCCGCAGGTGAAGTCAGCCAGAGATGGTCCTGAGCYCTTATCTGAGTCATGTTCTCGCTAGCCTAGATGCTGCAAGGTCCTCCCCACTGTGCTCCCAGCCACCACCACTGGTCCCCTTCAGGCTACTCTCAATGCAGATAGTTGTTCTGCTTCTGCTCAGAACCCTCCACTGCCTTCCATCTTAGAGAATGGTGAGATGGGATGCGCATGATCTGGTCCTGCCTTGGCCTCGTGTCTGGCCTCACCTCCTGCCATCTTACCCCTCCTGCTTCAGGGATCTCTTGGAGTRCTCCCAGCAGATCCACCGTGGGGCCTTTGGATTTTGCTATGCTTTCTGCCTAGAATATTCTTCCTCAAGATCTAGCCTGGRTAGTTCCCTCTTTTCATGCAAATCTCTGCCCAAATGTCACTATCAGAGAGGTACTTCCATTACCACCCTGGGTAAAACAGTCACCAAGCTGTTTCAGGAATTATCATTCCCTAACTTCCATATTTCAGCATGACATATTAATTTCGTTATTTATCGTCTGTCTCCCCACACTAGAATGGGAGGTCCACGGTGGCAGGGACACTGCATGCWTTGTTTTATTCTCAATGCCTACAACAGTGGCTTGGCATATTGTAGTGCTCAAGAATATTTTTGGATGGATAAATGAATGACTCAGAGCTCTTTATCCAGGCTCTTGGTTTAGTGTGGCCATCTCTCCAGACACCTCCATTTTGACTAGTGGATTTCCTCCATGCCTGGAAACATAGAGTTTTAATGACTGGCCAGTCAATCAGCTGGATTATTTTTAAGAGCTTGGATAAAAGTTCAGAGTTGGAATAGTACTGGCTATAAAAGCTTGCACCGGCTTCCCAACCTTTCTGTTTCTAGTTCCATTTCCAGGCTCTTCCAGGAACTTGATTTATGTTGGCAGTTACTGATCTTTGAGGGCAGAGCTCCATTAACATTTTCAAACTACCCCATCTGTGTATTCTTAGGATATTTTTAATTTTCAAAGGTGAAATTCACAATAAGGCTACACATGATTTTTATAGCATTTTCTTCTGCTATCAAATGCTAAGGTAAGGGAGCAATGCAAGAAGGGAGTCTCACCCTCTCTTGCGGCCGTGCAGTGCTGGGGAAGAACATTTTTCTTATAGCTCTTATAGAGTTGGTGTCTCCATTATGACCCCTGCATGGCCATGTCCTTTTATTATGTGCATAAGGAATACCAAGGAAGCACTGGAACCGTGCCTGTGCCTAGGAGCCCCCAGTSGGTCTCCTGAAGCCATCGCAGCAGGTGGAGACTCAGAATGGGCAGACCCAAGGCCTGGCCTCACACCTGCCCCAGAGGCCTCAGGGAAATGGGCCTCACCTTTTCTTTCACGATTGCCAGCTTCTGGGTCTCAGTGAACTGCAGCTGCAACTCCTGCAGCCGGTGCTGCAGGAGGGCAGACTCTTTGTCCTTCCTCTCCATGTGGGTGGACGTCTCCTCCCGCAGCCCATGCAGGTCCAGCTCCAGCTTCATCATGTCTACACGGGGCAGGRTGGGGTGGCTTGCTCAGAGGGAGCTCCACCTCCTTCCGGCTCCTGCTGCCCACCAGCCCTGGCTTTACCCTTCATGATGTTTTTCTTCTGTTCTGACACGGCCTCCAGTTCCGTGCTCAGRTCCTTCACGAGGCTCTGGTACTCCTCCACGTGCAGGCACTGGCTGTCTTTCTGTTCCTGCAGGTGCTTCAGTATCTGGCAGTAAAAAGAGCAGGGCAGGATGAGGACATGGGGGAAGAGCGCTTTCTAAAATGCAAGATGCCCAGAGCAACCAGGAGAGAAACAGGAGGCTGGGGAGCAGGATGGGAATGACTGCGGGTGSTATGTGTTTCTTTTGGGATGTTGAAAATGTTCTGATCAAAGAACACATGGATTTTGGCCTTTGAATCACCTCTTTAAAAGCCCCCTTTTCCTGCTGTTGGGCAGAATCACAGCCTCTGGGACAGAAGTCTCTGTGTTTCTCCTTTTCTAGCAAGATATTAGGTCCATGGATCCAACATGGCAGCGGGCGCGGAGAGATCAAGTCTCTGACCTCTTCCGCTGCGCGGGCATAGGGAGTCATAAACTGTCTAAATGCTGTTTGCTCAGGATCACTAGGCAATGCTGAGCTGATGTGGATCTGGRGCSAACAGTCTGGGCCTCTCGGAACACACACCGAGCCCGTTCGCCTGCTTCTCATGACTCAGCACTAAGGATCCCACTGAAATAACTGGTCGGCCCTTGTGAACTTACAGAGGTAAAAGCCAACAGAGCCTTCATAGGCAGTGGCCACAGGATTGAAACAGGGCTTGGGAGATACAGTCAGGACCCACCCGTTGCATTGGTCACCCAGCAAAGGGAACGAACGAATGGACACCATTTGCATGGGATTCCACCATGGCAGAGAACTGACATCAC